ATTTTGGGTACCTTGATGAGGGCGAATTTCAGGTTTATTTTGGGTGATTTTGGGGTAATTTGGGGTTGATTTTGGGTCAATTTCAGGTGATTTCAGGGTTAATTTTGGGTCAATTTCAGGTGATTTCGGGGTTGATTTTGGGGTTGATTTTGGGTTCATTTTGGGCTGATTTTGGGTCAATTTCGGGCGATTTCGGGTACCTTGATGAGGGCGAATTTCAGGTTTATTTTGGGTGATTTTGGGGCAATTTTGGGTGATTTTTTTGGGTTAATTTGGGTGATTTGGGGTTGATGATTTTGGGGTTATTTCAGGCGATTTTGGGGTTGATTTCAGGTGACTTCAGGGTTGATTTTGGGCTGATTTTGGGTGATTTCGGGTACCTTGATGAGGGTTTATTTTTGGGTTATTTTGGCTGATTTTGGGGTTATTTTGGCTGATTTCGGGGTCGATAATTTCGGGGTTATTTCAGGTGATTTCAGGGTGGATTTTGGGTCAATTTCAGGTGATTTTGGGCTGGATTTTGGGCTGATTTGGGGCGATTTCGGGTACCTTGATGAGGGTGACGGTGGCGCTGTAGAAGAGGCTGAGGATGAAGAGGACGATGAAGGTCGAGGCCGTGGCCCAGAGGTTGCCCAGATCCTCCTCGTCCTCGCCCGCCGCCGCGCCCGCCAGGAGAGCTGGGGGAAAACAGCGGGAAATCGGGGTTTTGGGGCGAAAAAACGGAATTTTGGGGGGGAAAAACGGAATTTTGGGGGGGAAAAACGGAATTTTGGGGGGGAAAAACGGAATTTTGGGGGGGAAAAACGGAATTTTGGGGGGGAAAAACGGAATTTTGGGGGGGAAAAACGGAATTTTGGGGGGGAAAAACGGAATTTTGGGGGGGAAAAACGGAATTTTGGGGGGGAAAAACGGAATTTTGGGGGGGAAAAACGGAATTTTGGGGGGGAAAAACGGAATTTTGGGGGGGAAAAACGGAATTTTGGGGGGGAAAAACGGAATTTTGGGGGGGAAAAACGGAATTTTGGGGGGGAAAAACGGAATTTTGGGGGGGAAAAACGGAATTTTGGGGGGGAAAAACGGAATTTTGGGGGGGAAAAACGGAATTTTGGGGGGGAAAAACGGAATTTTGGGGGGGAAAAACGGAATTTTGGGGGGGAAAAACGGAATTTTGGGGGGGAAAAACGGAATTTTGGGGGGGAAAAACGGAATTTTGGGGGGGAAAAACGGAATTTTGGGGGGGAAAAACGGAATTTTGGGGGGGAAAAACGGAATTTTGGGGGGGAAAAACGGAATTTTGGGGGGGAAAAACGGAATTTTGGGGGGGAAAAACGGAATTTTGGGGGGGAAAAACGGAATTTTGGGGGGGAAAAACGGAATTTTGGGGGGGAAAAACGGAATTTTGGGGGGGAAAAACGGAATTTTGGGGGGGAAAAACGGAATTTTGGGGGGGAAAAACGGAATTTTGGGGGGGAAAAACGGAATTTTGGGGGGGAAAAACGGAATTTTGGGGGGGAAAAACGGAATTTTGGGGGGAAAAAAATGGAATTTTTGAGGGAAAATGATATTTTGGGGGGTTTGGGGGGAAAAAACGGAATTTTGGGGGGTTTGGGGGGAAAAAAATGGGATTTTGGGGGAAGAAACGGAATTTTGGGGGGAAAAAAATGGAATTTTTGAGGGAAAATGATATTTTGGGGGGTTTGGGGGGAAAAAACCCGGGATTTGGGGGGGAAAACAGCGGGAAATCGGGGTTTTGGGGCGAAAAAACGGAATTTTGGGGGAAAAAACGTGATTTTGGGGTTTTTTTGGGGGAAAAAAGGGAATTTTGGGGGAAAAAACGGGATTTTGGGGGAAAAAATGGAATTTTGGGTGGAAAAAAATGTAATTTTGGGGGGAAAAAAACTGAATTTTCGGGGGTTTGGGGGGAAAAAACCCGGGATTTGGGGGGGAAAACAGCGGGAAATTGGGATTTTGGGGTGAAAAAAAGGAATTTTCAGGTTTTGGGTGGGGGAAAAGCAGAATTTTGGGGGGAAAATGAAATTTTGGGGTTTTTGGGGGAAAAACAGAAGATTTGGGGCAAAAAAGTGGGAATTTGGTGAAAAAAAACCCAGGATTTTGGGTGGAAAAAAGAGGAATTTGGGGAAAAACTGGGATTAAAACGGGAATTTGGGGTTTTGGGGGGAAAACCCGGGAATTCCCGATTTTGGGGAGGGAAAAACGGGAATTTGGGCCAAAAAAACCTGGGAATTCGGGATTGGGTTAAAAACCGGGAATTTGGGAACACGAGCAGGGATTTGCCCTAAATTTTGGACTTTTTTCCCCACAAAAGAGCCATTTTTGAACCCAAAATTGGGGATTTCAGCCCCAAAATCCCAACTTGATATCCCCAAAAATTGGGGAATTCCAGCCCCGAAATTCAGGATTTTTTTTGCCCCCAAAATCCCGATTTTTTTCCCCCAAAATCCTGATTTTTTCCAGCAAAATTCGGATTTTTTTCCCCCCAAATCCCAAATTTTCCCGCCCCAAATTTAGGATTTTCAACCCCAAAAATCGGGATATTTTTTCGCCCAAATCCTGAATTTTTTACCCCAAATCCCCGCCTCGCGCCCTCCCAGTTTTGGGGGAAAACACCTCAATTTTCCCAGCGTGAAAAAAGAGGTTTTTGGGTCTAAAATCGCCATTTTTTATTAACAAAAACCTTTATTTATTTAAGCAATCCTAAAAATCGAGGGTTTTGGGGAAAAAAAAAACCCAAAGTTTTTGGGGAAAATTTCGAATTTTGGGGAGGGAAAATGGAAATTTTGGGGGGAAAAATTGAATTTTTGAGGGGAAAAAAATCAAATTTTTTTGGAAGGGAATGGAATTTTTTGAAGGGAAAAAAATCACTTTTCTGAGGAAAATCGGATAAAAATTGAGTTTCTTGAGGGGAAAAATCCAAATTCTGGGGAAAAAAACATATTTTCAGGCAAAAAAAATGTCATTTTTTTGGTCCAAAATCACCATTTTTTCTCAAAAACCTTTATTTCTCACCAGAAAATCGCAATTTTGGGGGGAAAAAATGGAATTTTTGATTATAAAGTGGGTCAAAATTGAACTTTTCGAGTGGAAAAAGACACATTTTGGGCAAAAAAGTCATATTTTCTGGCAAAAAAGGGAGTTTTTTGGGTCCAAAATTGCCGTTTTTTCGCAAAACCTTTATTTCTGACTAGAAAATAGCGATTTTTGAGGGAAAAATCAAATTTTGGGGGAAAAAAGTCAAATTTTGGCGGTTAAAATGGGTCAAAATAAAACTTTATGTGGCAAAAATCCAATTTTGGGGGGAAAACCCGTGATTTCTGGGAAAAGAAGTAATTTTTGGCTGCAAAATCGCTGTTTTTACGCAAAACCCTTATTTCTCGCTAGAAAATTGCGCTTTTTGTGGAAAAAATGGAATTTTGGGTGAAAAAATTCAAATTTTGGAGCATAAAGTAGGTCAAAACGAAAGTTTTGGATGGAAAAAAGCCAAATTTTGGGGAAAAAACCCCGAATTTTCAATCTAAAAACCGAGCTTTTGCGTCTAGAGCCGCCATATTGTTTTTGCAAAAACCACTTTATTTCGGGCTAGAAAAGTGCGATTTTTGGGGGGTAAAAATCAAATTTTGGGGTTAAAGTGGGTCAAAACGAAAGTTTTGGATGGAAAACCACCAAATTTTGGTTAAAAACCCCCTCAATTTCCAAGCTAAAAACCGAGTTTTTGCGTCTAGAGCCGCCATATTGTTTTTGCAAAAACCACTTTATTTCGGGCTAGAAAAGTGCGATTTTTTTGGGGTAAAAATCCAATTTTGGGGTTAAAGTGGGTCAAAACGAAACTTTTTGAGTGGAAAAAGCCAAATTTTGTTTAAAAAAACCTCCATTTTCAAGCTAAGAAAACCGAGTTTTTGGTGTAGAGCCGCCATATTGTTTTTGCAAAAACCACTTTATTTCGGGCTAGAAAAGTGCGATTTTTGGGGGGTAAAAATCAAATTTTTGGGGTTAAAGTGGGTCAAAACAAAAGTTTTGGATGGAAAACCACCAAATTTTGGTTAAAAACCCCCTCAATTTCCAAGCTAAAAACCGAGTTTTTGCGTCTAGAGCCGCCATATTGTTTTTGCAAAAACCACTTTATTTCGGGCTAGAAAAGTGCGATTTTTTTGGGGTAAAAA